TTATTTGTTTTCGAAAGCTTCGACTTTTGCATCATCCCACTCACAGAGTAATAAATTGAGTAGACGACGCTGAACCGGGAAAGATTTCGGTTGTTGTATGAATACTATCAGTTATTAACCTTAAATCTTTTATGCAATTCACAGGCCAACGATCGGAGATGTCCTTCGCAGTCAAGGTCGCGGGAATCCACAAAGGCGACGACCAGGGGCGTCACCAGGAGGAGGCGGAGGTTACGCAGGCGTAGACCACAACGATGCAGATGCCGTAAATCGTCGTAACTACCTCAACAATTTGAAGAATAACAACAAGGCAAATAACAATAATCACAGGTCTACCGGTTCTGGCAACCAAGTTCAGTATCCGAATGTTGGGAAGATTGTCCCGCCACTCAGAAGAACGGAAGGAGAGAATCCCCCGTTTGCGCCTTCATGTTAGTACAGTTTGTATTGAAAACCCCTCGTGTCTCCACTTTTCAGCTTATTTTAAAATAAACCCCTGTTCGAGGCTTTTTATAGGTTAATTTATATCAAATTTATATTATTTTGCATTTAGACTGTGCTTATCCTCTCAGCTGATTCTAATTTGCATTAGAATTCTTGTGTCTATTTCTATATTAATGCTCCCATTTGCGAACACTTGCTTTTAAAGCCATATATGAATCTTATACAGTAACTATTCAAGGGGTGTGCAACAGGCGGTCTGTAGACCACAAACCGGCCTTCAAGCCATCTGGTGTTGCCCTCATATTTTCCCCATCAGGCATCAAACCGAATACGACAGTTTATGTTTTAAAAGTCGCTCACGTGGGTAAAACTACAGGTCTTTTTTGATCTTGTCGCTGCGTTAAATCTTTGCCGTTATGCCCAGTGTCTTAATCAGACGCATTATCTCTCCTTGTCTACTATATTTGTTGTGTGGCCCAACTAGATGCCTGAAGTCTAGTTTACTGAAGTTGGTTACATGGCTCACCGACACCTTTGAGATATCCCCATACCCAGTGGTGGGAATCAGCCGGTTTGCGCCGGTTTTATAGAACCGTCTCACGGAATTTTATGAGATCAGCGAACCGGTTTGCATTACTGACTACTGTCGATGTTCTGTTTGTAACAGAACCGGCTGAAAAATATGATTTTTGTGAAGAAACCGGCTGACAAAAAATTTGAATCCCACCACTGAATTGGTAATCTGATAAAAAGCCGCGAAGCACTAAATGATGAAGTCACTTTCCCCTTCTTAGAGATAAATATGAAAATCGTATCTTCATCTATTCTTATATAATTCAGGGACTCACTGTGTCATTTCAATTCAAGTCAGCATAGCATGGGTCGTTGTGAAAAGCCCGCATTATCCAAACAAGTTCCAGGGACAAGTACAATGCAGTTGGATGTAAGTACATAATTAGAAATCTCGATTTCTTGCCTTTGCTCCAAGCAAGGCTCTTCGCTGGTGACGAGTTCGAGACATTCCAGTCAGAGAACTCGTGTTGCTTCGAATCTTAAATAAATTTTGACTCGCGCCCGGGAAATCTAAATCTCGTTTTTTGTAATAATAATATTTATAAATTTTAATCTAAATTATTAGATAGATGATCTCAGACCTTCACTTAAAACAACGTAAGAAGCTTCTGTTTCAGAATCTTTCGCAATCAGCCTGGCCCATCGAATTCATCTGATTCTGTGTCAGATAGTGTGTGTCATAAATAGCTTTTCCTGTTTTATATGGTTGTTTCATCGCAGAAACACACAAACTGACGCTTTTGTTCTTTCTGTCCCTAAATTTTCTTTCAAATCCTAGAGCCACCGCAATGGAGGGGTACAGAGTTCGTCTCTCATTCAAGGACCTGGATCTCCTCGTACCAAATAATAATGGCTGTGGAAGCCAGTTTGTCGAAGTCATTGATATGGACTTGCAGAAATCTCAAGCCAGGTTCTGTGGAACCGATCTACCCGGAGATTACGTGTCTAACGGTGAGTTTCTATTGAAGAACTTAAAATCACTTTGAATTCATCAAAATTAGCAAAATAATCACTCAAAATATTTAATTAAAAGTATAAGAAAACCAATACTATAATTACAATTACTACTGTCGCACTTAGGGTATACATTGGAAAATAAAGCAACCCTCCACATGCAGAAAAGGAGATAAATCAAAATAGTTTTCAGTGCGTGAATGGTCGCTTGTCACTCTATTATCAATGCTTATTTGCTATCTGCTCAGAATAGAAGCTCGCATACTACTGAATTTCGTTTATTGGGAACAGCGGCACAACTTAACAATACAACTTAAACAGTGACCATAAACAAACGTCTACAAGTTATCCTGACTATACAACGACTAATGAACCAGACGGATATATGAGATGCGGTGCGCCGCAACAATTAGTTGTCGCACTACTCATCATTTGAGTAATCACATTACGTAACACTCGTCACCATAACGCGTATCATTGGATCGAAGGTGCAGGTAAACACGTGAGATCAGATGATAATATGCTCTCATATTCATCTGGGGAGAGAAGTTCCGATGAGAAGGCTTATTCATATGACCTCTCATTCAATTGTGTGTAGGAATGCTTAAGTCTATTGTTCAAAGTGAATAAAAAGTTAATGAAAGTAAGCCGTAACCGACAATGGGCTACGTGAACCTTCCTTTAACGGTGAAGTGTTCAGCAGCAATCTTCTCGCTTATAATTATCTCCCACAGGATTCGAACCTGCAATCTCATGCAAAGTAACCGGCAGGGTTATAGCAAGCAGTGATGGGTATTTTTGAATATCTAATGATTTCAGAATAGAATCGAATATTTTTTTCGAATCGAATCTCGAATACTTGGAAGATGACTAGTTTTACGTGACTTTTTATTGTGATGGGTCCTTAGGCCATGAATCACTGAAAACATTGAATCCATCACTAAGACATGCGTTGTCACCATGTTTCATCAATGACTCACTAGGAAGATAAGAGTCATATGTCAGAATTGTATTTTAAAAATAAGGCTTCACAAAAAGATGGAGGGATTCACCTCGATGCATGATGGCGGCGATTCGAAATTATTGCCTGAACCGATTTGAATAATTCACTATTCGATCCGAAATGCCCAGCCGTAATAGCAAGTCTATTGTCACTTTAAAATAAGATTCCATCTTGTTTAAAAGGTGTGTCTGCAGAAGTATATCTTCTCCTAACGCATGTTTATCGTCTTCAGGTAACAAGCTGCGATTGGATCTTCAAGCGGATGCAATAGCAACCCCGTATCGAGGGTTCATGGCTGCTTTCAGGGCAGATAAAGAAGTTCCTGGAAGAAGAGGTTTGTACTGAATACATTCACATTGATATCATGAGAGCAATTTTGTCATAATATTTCACTATATGGCTCCCTGATTATGTGCACCAAGATGGCGCACAACCTGAACTCTAACCTGATACACATACTATGTTCAGGATGTGCGTCATCTTGGTGCATATATTTCTGGAGCTATATGAGGATTTCGTCTTTGGATCTTAACTTCCAATAATGTAATTTGTTCCGTAAATTTGGTTTCTGCGGGACTAATTACTTATTTTTTATACTGAAAGAATGCTGTAGTAAGTGTGGAGATAATTATCTTAAGTGATTCAAGAGTTTTGCTGCACACTAACACAAATATGTTTCTGTAACGTTTCTGACCATGGTCAGACGAAACGGTACTGTTTTGTGTTAGTGTGCGAAATTTGTGCCACAAAATATATACAAGTACGTCAAAGGTGTTTTTCCGCACAGTATGTCATTAGCAATTATAAAGTACTCCTCGTTCAAAACACCGTCTTCTTGATTTAAAAACGGTCAAATATGGACGAATAATACAACATGTTACGTGTGAAAGCATCATAGAACTAGATCATGTTCGTCAGTAATTGAAACGCCTCCGGCGTCATATGACATGTGATTAGGTAATACTGACTAGACTGCGCAAGGCATTTGGCAAATTTAGCTTGTAAAAATACCTTCGACAGAGCTATCTTTATATTCGTTGACACTTTACTGATTCTTGTTTTTAAAAAAACTTAGTTTGAACCCACACCACACATGTTGATATCACAGATTAGCTATTTGGGGTTGAAATATTATGCCTACCATCCCAGCCAGGGTATAGTTGAAACGTGTAGGCAATGCCGAGTTGGGTCTTCTAAGCCAGTGGTTCTAAACCCGAGTTCGGGGACTGTCTGTGTTAGTCAAGTGAATATACCCCTGCCCATAGGTTTCAGTCCCTTTACACAACTAGATTTAAAGTAGGCGAACAAAATTAGTTACCTCCATATTGGCACATACACTTCCAGAGCGCCCATAATGAATACCAACATCGATCTCATGTTATGCCACATCACTCATGATGCGTTGCCGTAGTGTCTGCTGCTCTAGAGCCTTGTTTATAGCATTTTGTATATTAATGAAAATTGTACTAATCTTTCACCAAAACTTGTTTCAGAAACGAGTTACTTTGGACAAGGAATCCCAGCCGGCCCTTACAATCCGTTGACACAAAGGTAAGAATATTTGTGATGGTTCATCAAAACCCTGCTTCACTCAGAAATAACGGAGACATTTCTCATTAAGGTCACTGACTACTAAAATTTTAAGAACTATAGAAATTTGCAGTGACGAAATGCGTTAGTAAGAATTGATTGGCGCGGTACTCGGAACAGCTCCATCCAACAAGTCCATAATACCATTTAACAGCTATGAAACTTGGTTGTTTTCGACTTTGGCTTAATACTAGGATGTCCTTTATTACCGCCGTCTTCACACTTTCGCTTGGCATTTATTACACTTAAACTCAAGGTGTTAGGGACTCCACGTCAGTAGAGAAAGACGATAGACATGGAATTTGAGCGGAAAAATTTTCACTCGCGGCGCCAACACAATTGGGTACAACGCCCCAACCCTTGAGCCACCGCTTACGCCTAACAGTATAAAATAGAAAAAAAAAATTAATAAATTGAAACGTAAATATGTTTTCAGCCCTCCATCCAACCCAACAAACCCACTACCATTAAGAAGACGAATCACGAGGCCAACGACCACGCCTGGGATACCAGGACAGAAGATATATGGAGCAAGGAATCAGCCGAGATATGAAAGTACATGCTTTAATGGTTTTCCTAATGTTGCATTTAAAGTTGTATTTCCAAATTTAGTTGTCTACGATATTTCAATATTTTAATTTACATCTGCATGGGAGAATTTTCTCTATAACTTTCTATGTTCGATGTTTCATTCTTCTTTGAGTTGGGAGTTAAATTTTAACGGAAACTAAACATTATAGTTTTCAAACCAAAAATCTTGTTATACTGGAATTAGAGAGACATCGTGAAAGTTCCCAACACAGAGACAATTTTAAGGGATAAACGGGAATGGGAGAAAACCTTTATCGGCTCCAGAGCCCAGCATGAGCCGGGAGACTAGTGAATTGGAAACTCCTACATAAAATATTCCACCCTGGCAAGGGTCAACCCCAACTTTATTAATATAAATTTTTTAATCGAAAAAGGAGGTGAACGAAGAAAATACTCTAATAACATATGCCAATTAGTTGAGTCCTAGTGGATCTTAACCTTTGGGAGCCTGCCGAAACCCTCTAGTTTTTTATGGGAGCTTTCGTCGAACCCCAAACATTTTAAACAGTTTAAACTAGGGGCGCAAACCCAATAGATCTTTTTTTAATTGAGTCTTTGCATAATGTCACAATTCCCGAATCCCTTTTATATAGTTTAAATATGACCTGTTGGGGAAGTTTTCTTGTGAAGGAAAAAAAATCAGTTATGCGCCTAGAATTGTGGCCCATCGTCAACTGTTCTGTGGTCCCCTTGCCGGGCCATGACCTCCCAACCGGTTGGAAACAGCTGATTTAGACTAAATTTTCAACGGAATGGCAAGTATATTTGTTAGCTTTCGATACACAATATCCGGCACTCCTGTAATATGTGCACCAAGATGGCGGACACCTGAACATAGTATGTGTACCAGGTTATGGTTTGGACATAATTTTGTTCAAATTTTTCTTATTTTAGTTCTATCAAGAGTTCGGAGACCAATGACTCCCGTTGTATTCGTACCTGGAATTATGGCCCAACCCTAACCTGGTACACATACTACTTTCCGGTGTCCGCCATTTTGTTGCCTATACTACATGACTACCCAATATCCTAATACTCTCCGTATTAGGATTTACATCACAATTCTCCATTCGCCTTTCAAACACTTCAAATATGACCAATCTATTCAGATCCCGAGAAAGATCCAGAAGAGGACGCTCTTGATTCATCAACCACTCATCTCTACATCATCATTGCGGTTATTCTTGTAATTCTCGTTGCAGCTGCAGCAGCTTATGTATTCAAAAGGTAAGAAAGTCCAAACTAAATAATAGAGTAAACAACAACAACAAGAAATCAAAAACAACAGCAACTTTTCGAAAAATTGTAGATGAATTTCGTGCCCAATAACTAATAAATTGAAAAATTCTTAATTTACACGCACCAGTACAAAAAGAAGAAAGACAATTTTTTTTATATTATCCAGAAAAACATTTCTTACCAAGCAAGAAAAATCGTACCAATTCAAACTCGATACATACTGAGAAATATTACTTATCCAGAATTTATTTATTACTACGAAACTAAAAATAATCTATTTTATATTTTACGTACATCTAATTTACTATATTATGTATAAACTGGCTCTATGATAAAACCACCAGAAAGAGGTGATTTCTTGACAAATGCAATGATCCCATTACATACTAACGCTTCACCCTTTTTCCAGGTACTTTTTCAAGACATTCATGGCCTGGCGTAAAAAGAGAAAGAACGGGGGCGAAGAAATGGAAATGCAGAAAACTGAGGGGGTGTACGGAATCACCAAACAAACTGGTTTACCGGGTAATGTACCGCTCCCTCCACCACCAAACCAACCCCCTAACACCATTGCAACGAAGACAAAGCGTCTCGTTTAAAGGTTTGTTTTTTTTGTTAGCAATAATTACCTCATCTAAAAGCGCGACAATGTGGCACATTGTGCTAAGCGTCGGAAATACGCTCGCCACCGCACCTCTGCATGAGTTCGTATCCATACCATGCGGAGGTAGTTATGTGCGAGAGGATTGCTAGACTCCTCACCGCCGTAGGGTGGTTCAAGCGCTGGACGGTTACGGCTTTTTTCCACCATAAAGTCCATGCTTCTGAAAACAAATAACTAACTAATCCCATACCCGACATGGAATTGTAACCGGACGATAGTTCGTGGTTCGCCATATGATTAAGCTGTCTTATCGGTTTTTCTCTTCTCAGTGATAAATATGTAAATCCAATCCTATCTAGTAGAATATAATTTACATATTTATCCCGGGAGAGAGCAAAGGACGTGAAACGGGTTAATCATATGGCGAACCACGACCTCCCGTCCGGTCCAAGTTGTGTGTGGGATTAGTTAGCCAGTTATTTTCTCGTTTCATTAGATACATGGACTTGAGTGACAGTCCCAAAGTCCCGATACTTGAGTCGAATCCTTTTCTTTCCAATCGGATAACTGATTTCGATTGAGAGAGAGTGTATTTTATTTGTCAAACCAATAAACACACAATGTATGTATACATGTACAAATTATAAATGGACAAATGCTTTTGGTGCATGACTGGGAGGCAACGATACGACCTTTTGGGGTCATCAGATTTCAACTCTTCAAGAATAAACTTACATATATATTTTGTATATACTATGTATGTTTTGCATCACGCGACGGCAATTGCGGAACTGCGATGGCAATGGAACTGGGTTCGAAATTTTGCAGATTGGTGATTTTGAACCGATAACAGTTTTTTAGTTTTGATTGCAAATAGGCGATTGCAATCCCTTTCAATATATCAAAATTTTCCGCGACCCAAACAAGATTTACCGCAGTACTAGCGAAGTGATATGAATAACGATTTCTGGCCACCGACGGCACAGTCCTGATTCGGAATTGTTACTTGCCCCTTCAGTGTTTATGATCAAATTAGGAATCGTTATTAAAGAGCACTGCTACTCGGCTCTTACGATCGAAGTCGGCATTGTTATGTAAGCGCGCCTCTAGATATAGTACTGTGTGAAATTAGCGTACTCTTCGCGACATCTGAAATTCGTTGCGCGACCCCCTGCGACCTCCAGTTCGGGAAGTCCTGGCATAGGCAACTGCTGTACTGCAGATAATAATTTGAATTTCTTGCGCTCCAGAAGTATGTGCACTAAGATGGCACACAACCTAAACCCTAACCTGGTACACATACTATGTTCAGGATGTGCGCCATCTTGGTGCACATACTTCTGGAGCTCTGAATTTCCTATTTATAAGTATTGCTTTCGTGTTTCAGATGGGAATTACTCGGAAAATGGAATGTTCCAAGACCATAGCATGGGAATGTATCCTCATAGCTTGCCTCCATCTTATCACAGTTCATTCGGGAATCTCAATCGATCTCATAGTATGGATGACATTTCCAATGGATGGGTGCAGAGAGGAAACGAGTAAGTTAATTCATGTATATTGGCTCAGTATGTTCCCCAGCTTTTCTTTTTAGGGGGGGTGTTTCAAAATTTAGGGGGTGGTAAATAATTTGCTGTTAGATATAAAACTAGGCTATTTGTATTCTTAAAAAAATCGTATGTATTTAAGAAACGATGTAGGCTACATGGGGGCCCCCCAAGTTGATTGACGCGAGCCAAAATCCACAGCAGAATGTAATTGTAGAGCCAGAAAAGGGAAGCGAGGAAAAGTGCGGGACGACACGGCTGGGGTTCAGGGCGCGGTCAAGCGCCCTGAGAAAATTTTGAGAAATAGGCACCAAAATAGGCTCTAAGCTTGATTTTAGATACACCTAACATCGCAGTTTGTTATGTAATGAAATCAATAATTGTAATATTTAGCTGATAGAATTCCCGGGGAATAGATAACAAGCACGGCTTTCAACCGTAAATATATACTACTACGTTTCAACAAGTAATTTGCAAGTTGCAACTGATGGTGACTAATGAAGTTACTTGCTCATCTGGCATTGTATGAATGGCTACGTATGGCTTGTTTTGTTACACATTTCTAATTTTTTTGAACATGTTTGTTTGACTTTTGTATGAATTAAATTTTGGAATAAGCTCGTCAACTGATCATAATGTCGCATAATGTTGTATTCCTTCAGAACTGAAATATTTTGTTGGTAAGAAGACAAATCGCTGAAGTTTGATTCTTTTCAATAAAGAAATAAACAACGCTGTCATTCATCTAAAAAAAGTCTGTTTTCAGTGCCTAGTTTTCGTTTTGTGACATCTTTAAGCTTTCTTAATATACGGCTGATATCTAAAATACTGCAGTGTGTAATCCTAATACCCATACGTATACATAAGATACCGGAATAATTCAATTGTTACGAAATAAACGTGCTTAAACTGTGATAATGATGTAACAATAGACGGTATCTAAAACTCAAAAGGTACCACATGAAGGGTTAAACTATTTCACTCAAGTTCGGCGGGCCATTTTAAATCGTCACGCGGGCCGTAATTGGCCCGCAGACTGCGGTTTAGAACCCCTCAGTGTGGAATCGCACCTCAAAATTAGGGGGGGTGTTTGAAATTTTAGGGGGGGTGTTCACCCCCTATAGGGGGGTGTAGGGAAATCACTGTATTGGCTCACCCTGATTATCCTACCAGGACATCTAGGTCCTAGACTAATTTTATTCCTGTACTCCGCTCAGTAAGAACAATCTTCAATACAATGCACGAGGATCAAAAATTTTCCGGTCTAATATTGCCTACCCCAGCGGTTCCCAAACTTTTTGTTCGTGCAGCGTCCAATTATCAGGGAAAAAAATCACGGCGCACTTGCACGAAAAAAACGCTGTATTCGAAAAAATTTGTGGTCGTTAATGCGTACTTTGTTCTCTGAAGCTTATTTACATTTTTCCAGCGAACCAATCTATGAAGACGACGCAATGTCCATCAACTCAATCGCTTCTTCGATTCGTTCTTCAAACAGACATCCAGAACATGAAGTTTTTAAGAGACAAAAATTAATGGAACGACAAAACTCATTACGAATGCGCAGAAACAGCTTTGGAGGTGAATTAGCACCATCTATACCACAAAACACAATGTTCCCTCTGAACGGCCAGTACCAAGCTAATAGTCTGTACAGCCAGCAAACGCCGTATGGATATGATCCAATGTATGGCGTATATGGATCCCTGCCTTCTTACGGATCTCATGGCGCTCAAGGAGCGATGTATCCAGGATACCCAATGACGTCACGACCATTATTTACGTCATCAACATCAAATTTAGCTGCAAATGATCACAACAACTTTATGATGCAACAATACAACGGTCGTTCGTCTTCTATGTATGACCTCACAACTATCGGTGTTCCTGATATGACATCACAATGGCCAACGAATTTAAATCAACGTCATTCATCTATGACGTCATCAACGAACAATTCAACTTCAACCAATCCGATACTCAAGAAGACGACACCAGATCCGCAAAATGAACTTGCCTTTACAGCACTCAGATCAGCTAAAAGCATGAACGACTTAACAGCTATTAACACCAAACTAAATGAATGCGTTTCATGGACGTTGCCTTCACAGAGAGGAAAAAGCTTTGCCGACTTGTCTTGACTTGACATGTTAAATAAGAAAACCCATTAGAGCTTATTTTATTTAAAGGTTTTTTGCTCTTTTTCATAGGGTGTTTACATTTCTATCTCAAAATAGGTTATGTTTTAACAGTCCATTCCCTTAAATAGAGGTAGTTACTAGATTTGGAGGTTGGAGATTGCATCGTCATTGGGTAATACGGTGGATTATGTTTGACAACATCTGAACTAACTTTCAAACTTTAAGTGTGCGATGCCGACTCTAAGAAAGCTTTCATAACAAACTTCTACTGACAATCTACCAACCAGGCCAAAAATAATTCAGCATGACGGCTATATGAAGAACAATCACGCTGACTTCACATAAAGAAATGTTGACTTAACGCCGATTAGACGTTTAAAACAGAGAAAAAAATTATTTATAGTGTTATTTCCGCCTTTCTTGGGGGGATTCACTGTTTTACTGTGAAGTAGGCCCAGTACAAAAATGCAAGTTACTTAATTGAAGGTAGTTCTAGATTTTGAAAAACTTGAATCCTCTCAATCCTGAGCAACAGGGTAATGAAGTCAAAAATACGGAGTCCGGGCTTTAAACCAGAAGGACTAAGCGTTCGCCAAAAAACGGTTTGTGGACTTAATGTGAGTCGAAAAATCCACCCAAATGATTTGACACTATGTATATTATAAAAAAAATTCAGATTGTTTTTATTCAGATTTTTTTTCTTCGCTTTTTCGGGGTGTTTGCAAGTTTATCTCAAACTTCAATTGGTACTAATAATCACTAAATAAGTATTAGGCTTTTATATTTGAGAGAACTCTATACATCCGGTACATCAAGTACCATTGGTACTATTTGGTGGTATGGCACTTTTGGTAGAGGATAAATGGTGCTCCCGAAGTATGCGAACCAAGATGGCGGACATCGGAACGTAACATGGGTAACAGGTTAGGATTAGACGATAATTTCTTTCCAATTTTCCTCATTTTATTCCTATTATCAGTTCGAAGACTAGCCAAGAGCCTCCCGTAGTATTTATACCTAAAATTATGGCCTAACCCTAACCTATACACATATTACATTCCGATGTCCGCCATCTTGGTTTGCATACTTCGGGAGCCCCGGATAAATATCCGAGCTAATAGGCCAGTGGTTTTCAACCTTTTTCTCTCGCGCCCAACTTTTGTTGCAAAAAATTTATTTTGGACAATCAACTTTCTCATAAAAGAGTACTATTTTGGTGGTATGATGTAAACCAGGAATGAAAACTGACTGGGGTTCGAACCTCAGGTGTGCGAACTTCAATGCCAACTCTTATAAAGAGGATAATTAACCAAGATAACCTACGGGGCCAGTTGTTCTCAACCCTTTTTCTTCCGTAGCCACTTTTGTTGCACGAAAACTTTTGGCTTATTAACTTTCTCATGCTAGGGCAAAACTAGAGCAGAATTTTTTTTGTAAAGATAGGCACTTCCACTTTAACACTTAAAATGTAGATTGTCACTCAGTGACAAAAACAGCATCATTATTCATTGCGACTACATTAAAGTTTTTCTAATTCATCAATAGCGCAATTTTCAATAGATTTGTGGCTTATTCCACCTGAAATTGTTTTGTGGCCCTGAGGTGGGACATGGCCCATTGGTTGGCAACCGGTACTCTCCAGGTGTAGGCCATATCGAGAATCCAAAACACACTGAAACTTCGAACTTTTGTTATGACAGAACGAAGGCCTGTGTCTTGCTGTAGAAATAGGCCTCATCGGCTTCTTTCTCTTCTCCAGAATATTTGAAAAAAATTGTTCTTTGCTCAGTAGAATTATTTCTCTCTTATGTAAAATTTTATGCTCTAATAAAATTTCAATTTATCTTTTTTTTGCTAATTTTACCATAATTTGCTCACACTTACTATATGAGAATTGCTGAAAACTGAGAAGAAATTGACTCGATGTTGACCCTTTTTTATTTAGCAAGATTTCTTTACGGTTAGAAATCATTGCGTTGTGGTGACGTAGAATAAAGTTTGGTGTCTGAGTTGACGTAGCTTCTCTCTGTTTTCGAAATTTTCTGGGTTTTCTTCTTGATGTATCGAATTTTTTCTAGCTATGGTTTAATTTTGGTGAATAGTAGAAACCTGACGTTCCTTACCATTCGGGAGTATTTTTAATGCACTTAATAAATTTTATTTACACTGCCTGATTGTTTATATGTATTTCCAAGTATAGCATACGAGGCTATTTTGTTCAAAATGGTTCCATTACATTTGAACCCACGTACATTTGAACCCATGACAATTGCACCTGCATACTATCGCACTTATGAATTTTTTTTTGTTTTACGAATATTTGAACCCATACTCACCTAACCCATGGGTTTTAGCACCCGCATATAGATTGAACCCGCGGATATACGCATGGGTTCAAATGTACGTGGGTTCAAATGTACGGTCACCGTTCAAAATAGCTTGTTCTCTTTGACAGATATCTTAAAGCTTAAAAAAACGTTGTTGTGCGGATTTAGTGAGTGTTTATAACTGGCATGGCAAAGTACGGCCCGCGGGCCGAATTCGGCCCGTTGGGTCCGTCTTCAATCTGTGATTCAATCTGGCCTGCCTGTCGGAACAACCAGAATGGTGTACAGTCTCACTGAAACTGTGAACCATGAGACTGAAACTTAGTGATTATTCGTTCATAATCGTAATAGTTCGCAACATCATTAATGATGTAAATGACAAAAACCAATGAGCCCAAAGCACTGATTTTCATCATGATCACAATGATCCAGTTTAGGTTGTATTTTAGGATGTCACAGACAGACTTTCATGTTATAAGGACGTTGACAAAACGTTTTCTCACTCAATCTATTAGACGGCGTGCTTTTCACACCTTTCTTCCGTCTCTTGCGTTTGAAGTCACACTTACATGGCCCACCAGACCAGGTGGTTCCATGGTTCAAAAACCTGGTTCAAAGTCGAAAATTCATTTTACTCAATCATAATGAATTTTATTCACATCGCCTATTTCTTGACTTGGGTTTGCAAGAACAACATGGGGGCTTTTTAAAGTTATTTCCAAATTCATGCAAAACAAAGCTGTGTATATGACGATTGCCAGATTTTGGACACGAAATCGACCTATGGATCGTGTTGTCATTATGTTGTCGTTCTTGTTGATATTTTTCTTTTTGTTGTTATAAAATAATCGCTTTTCTCATGATTACTAGATCAATTTCTTTGAAATTTTCAGAGATGAAAGATTGTATTTTTTGCTAAGAGGCTATTACTTATTTCAACACTTTCTGTGGGCTTGTTGTGATTAGTTTGTCATTTCGAAATTTAGTGTGATGAAACCTTGACAATTGTACTCCTTCGTGCTACTCTCCTCCTGCGCGGACTATCGTAGTCGGAATTTCTTTGACGGTACCGGTACTGTAGTAGTTAAGGTAGACTACTGCTTGGATTTGGTTTTTGTGTCAATATTTCACTCTCTTGTTGGACATATATATATATATGTTCCACCAAGAACAATAATAACAAAACGATCCAAAGGTCCATTTCGTGTCCAATAATGCACGCGTGGTCGGTTGCAACTTTCCTATCCTAACACATTTAGATTTAAGCCTAAGACTTTGAGTTCACAAAATTGTACATATCAAGAATTCTACGGACACCCGTCTTGGAGGAACAAAACTATATTTAGCTTTGGCAGATCGCAACTCTTGTATAATTAAATTTAGTTGAGAGGTCGGTGTAAAGCATAAACAAAACTTGCATAAAAATTCTGGGGATATTCTCCTGCAAGATAGACCAATGTACAAGGTTAGATTAACCATTAAGCAAAATAAGCATGTGATTAGGGGGCACCGCGACAAAGGGGCATCGCAGAAATTTCAATTGACAAGTTTTATTGGTATCTCAGTGTTTAATAAAATAATTGAAGTTGGTTCGATCCAGACCTCAATATTGGCTCGGTTGAAATTGAATATTTTCTCTTTCTCAAGTACCTCCTCTCTATAAATGTTTTTAGGCATGATAATTATATCCAAACATTATCATTTAAATGAATCATTACTTAGTTTTTAATTAGTAGCGAATACTGAAACTTATTCAGATAAAATTGGACACTAGTTTCATTAATTTATATTAATAGGCCACCGAAGTATTAAATTCTTAGAACCTCTAAAAGGCATGATCCGGCCTTAGTATATATATATATATGGCACTAGAACAGTAGTGCTAACATGCAACTGTTATTCCAGTATTTATTTAATTTCAGTTAAGGGTTGAAGAGATACTTTGCATTGAGCACAATTGCATAAGAAAAATCATGCTCCCAACCGCCATAGCGTAGTTCTAATGATGACACTCATTTTTTATGTATACCCCACACCTCATGCATTTGCTATTCCCCACCTCACAGGTTTGCTTCTAAAATATAAACGAATCAAGCAACATAAACATCAAATTTTATTACAATCAACAATGTCCAAAGGCACTGGCACAGAAAGTCTAAAATTTATGATTTAAAATTTTAAATAATCATGGAATGTCCCTTACATAAGGTATGAGTACTTGTCCATATTTGAGAAGCCAAGTAAGTGGTTTAAGCGCCCTTGAGATTTTTATCCCGCGGTAACAACACAGCAACTCAACTCAAAACCTAAAAAAAAATGCTGATTAAAATGGCGGAATCTTTTTTAAAATGGGTTAAACAGAATGTTGAAAATAAAAATTAAATACTCGGAGAATATCTCCTACATAAGTTATCATGTGTCCACACTCGAAAAACCAAGTAGGTGGTTAAGTGCCCCCGAGGTTTTTAACCCATGGTAACAACACAGCTAGGCTTAGCTCTACAACTATGCCATTCAAGCAAAAGCTCGATAAATACTATGGATCAAAATGGCGATTTCTATTTCAAAATGCGTAGAATTTTATCATTGTCACTATGAGATAGCCTACAATGTGCGCTAGCTGTAGTTGGCATTCGGCAAACAGCCAGCCACTCGACTCAGTTTAATATCAATTTATAATTTTTTCCCCGACCTTTGACCCTAGATAACTTTTAGTTTAGTCACCGTTAAATTATTGCTGATTTGGCACTGTTACGTAGGTAAACACTGGAGTCTATGCTTGAGGAAACATTTATTATACAGTATTGTCAATGTTCTTTTCTATTTTAGTTCGTTGCTGCCTTTTATCGTCACCTCACTGGGAATATTTTCTTCTCCTATCCCTTTTTGAATTCCTGCTTCTTTCGCGACGTTTTTTACTTGCGACCGATTTTGCACCATTAGTTCTTTTACCGGTATCATACCCTTCGTCAAAGTCACGTGACTTCTCGATGACGTAAAATGGTCTCCCTGTTGCGCTTTCGTACGTTGGAGGCTGGGACCTCATTCTAGGTAATGAATGAGTAAGCCTCTTTCTGCGCTGACTCTTAGGCCTATAGCTATCAGTGCTATCGGACGCCCACCCGGAGCTACTCGACAAATCAGATGACTCGATATCGCCATCTTGCGGATATGGATTTTTGATAACAGCGTTCGGTTGATAGTGTGGGTCGACCATGATCCATCCTTCCATATTAGGCATTGCTTGCATTGACCTTGACTTTGACCTTCGCATAGAGCTTTGTGACCTTGAATTTCTCATTGAGCTCCGAGATTTTGATCGTCTCATTTCATCTTTTCTTGAAACACGTGATCTTGATGATCTGGCTCGAGATCGGGATGATTTTAATCCTCCAGGTGGCGCCATCATAGCTGGTGCGGTCCTTGATTTTGAGATGTGCATAGGGGGATACATAACGTGTGGATATTGATGACGGGACATTGTTTGAGACATCATTGGCAAATGCTGCATGTGATGATAAGACTGGTGTTGCTGAAAAAGATGAGTACTTGAAAGAGGCAATTTTGGATATGTGTTTGTAATAAGGGGTGTCCATAAAGTCTTCAAATTCTTTAAAATTGCAAAGGGAATTTATCGGTACCATGTATTGTTTTGGCCCTTGCAGATGTATAAAAATGAAGTAAAAAATACTCAAACAATTACTGAACAATAAAAAGCCTGATTAATCTATATTGAGAACTTACGTCAAAAAAAAAATGTAAAAAGACTTTATGGACACTGTATGTTTAAGATGCAGAGATTTGCCAAAATTTCCAAATGCTTTTACTTTTTATGATACGAATCATAACGTTTCTAAAAAATACCGACTATTACACAACAAAGGTTAGAACAAGGGCCATTCTGGCTGAGGTTTGCCAACTTTTTAAACATGCGACGCGTATATTTTTTTAATACATATCATATTGCCTTGAGCAGTACACAACAAAAAAAAAATGCCACCCAAACCTGAGTCAAAAAATAATTTTAGAGGTGTTAGGATCTGTGATCGGAGTCGACTCCGAATAATCCCGAATTGGAGTCAGTTTTAACAAAATTGGATAGGCAATGTCGAACTTATACCCAGCGAGGAATTTTCAAATGAAAGAGGGGCGTCTGAAATCTTTAATTTTTAATGGCCAAGTAACAGACTATAACAGCTAGCGGGTCTTGCCGGCCGGCACCGAAAAACGTGCGTTTCAAGAGTCTTTTAAGGTATAAAAAGCGTTCCAAGCTACTAAAAATTGATATGTACAATACAGAAATTTTTTTTTTTTTCACATTTCGAAAGGGAGGGTTCCAACCCACATAACTACCTTCTTTGTGTGCCCCTGATGTTAAACCAGAAAGAGTTTGAGCCCTGCAATTATTAGTAGCGCATACCATATCGATGCCTATTAATTGCTGCTTGTTCATTGCCTTGTTCGTAAAGAACAGCATAAATAAGTGTCGTAATAAAACTCTGCTAACGTGTTGTCCCGAAAATAAGCCTTAGACTAAATTTTAAAATGATTCAAATATGAGCCCTCATTTGAAATAAGACCTAGTCTATAGCGGGTGTTTTTTATAAGCAAGTGGATATCGGCTTTTTAATTTTGTTTCTGAATAAATGAAAATAAAAGACAGTCCTCCAAAATAAGCCCTAGTGTTATTTTTCGAAAGAAAGTTGAAAATATGACCCCTATCTTATTTTCGGGGAAACACGGAACTAGAAAATATTCTTACCGGTACAATCTGCTCCGTCATATATTGCTCAGGCACTCCGCCAGGCATTGTAGACATATGTAAGTTATTTGGTTCAGCAGCTGCCGACTTGGCCCGTTCTTGTTCTTTTCGTCGTTGCTTTCGTTTTTTGTTTTTGTCAAAAATGCAACTGGAATAAAGAATGTTATTCGTTTATATCTTGAGATGTTTGGCATCAAAAATGAATATACCTAGACAGGCATGTTTCGACATGCAATGTGTTAGGATTCTAGTGTAGTAGAGTAGTGGTTTCCAATCTTTTTTTAGGCAAACCAATTTAAAATAAATTTTGTAAAAAAATCTCGCGACCTAAGTATATGATTGCATACTAAACGAAATGTAGTGCTATTACGTCTCAAAATTAAATAGCCACTACAAAATAGGCATTACTTGTTTTTGTGGCCTCTATGGTCTTCGTTTTTTGTGTGCAGTGACGTCATCAAATTAAAAAATTGCGCTTTTTGAGGCGGTTTCTCTTTTGCGTAAATTAATTTTTAGTAGTCAGTTGTGGTACGGAACCGGTAAACTACTGTGGCTGATTGCATACCTATTTGGTGTCAATAAATTTGAGCATCGCTCTTTTGTTTGGTCGAGTAAACCTATATAATTTTGTGGGATCAAGTTGGAATTGAATCACCAGGCAGCTGGTTGGACGTTTAATATAACGGGGCGTGTTTGATGTCCATGTTTGTCCACTAAGTATGTATACTCGTCTACTATTATTATTGGACAGGAAGTGTACATATGGATTGTTTTGTTATTATTTTGTTGGTATTTTTCTTCTTCTTCTTGTTATGAAAAAATTGCTTATTTCAATATTCACCAACTATTGGACCAATTGCTTTGGAATTTTCAATGTTTGAAACATTGAAACATTTATCGCTAGAAGGCTATTACTTTTATTTATTTCAACAACTTATGTGGCCTCTATTAGATTCGTTTTTTTTTGTGTACGATGACGTCATCAAATTTAAAAATTGCGCTTCTTGTGGCAGTTCCGCATTCTCGTAAGTTGATTTTTTGTGGTCAGCTGTGGCACGGTACCAGTAGACTACTGTGGCTGATTGCATAACTATATATTTGAGGCTGGCTATTGTTTGCTTTCACTAATTTTCTAAATTTAACTTACACTTTCATGAGGATAAAAATGATCGTCAAAGCTACGACTCCTCCCGCTGCCACACCAGCTATGATGTAGATGTTCAAAGGTTCGTCCTCTTCTTCTGCTACCGTTATAACGTCTGGAAATAATAATTTACGTCAGTTAAAAGAATGTAAGAAAGCCAGTTGTTAGCGTGACAGGGCTAAGTTGTGGGTATTTCGGAAGACGCAGTATCCTGGCGGTTGTAGAGTTGTAAGAAACGGCTAATTGTTGCATAATGGGTCTAGCAATGTAGCATTGCTGAGTGCGCAAGTAACTAGGGCCTATTATGAAATTGCACTACTGTTTGTGTATGATTGTACACGAAACTGTTTAATAATTGTATTTCTGGTACTAGCATGACCTGTGTCATCAGTTACAGATGACTGATCATTACCAACCAGCTGTGAAGCAAAAGTGGCCATATGCTCTCTGTACTTGAGGGGAGCCTCCCTGTCGGTGTGTGGTAAGTGTTTTGATTCGGTTAGTAACCAATTATACTTTGATACTAAGTTAACACTTACTTGAGTGGCCGTGATCTACTCCTCGCCTGTTAGTGTTTTGCCCATAAATGACAGGCCCTTGTCTTGGTGGTGGAGGCGGTCTAAAGTCAATTCGACTTCCTGGAGCTGGTGTTCGTGGCGCAGGTGGTCTCGATGGTCTGGGTGATGATGCTTTTGGTTGCTTGACTGGGGGAAGCCTGTAAAGAATATTTTTAGAGTTAGGAAGGCTTTGCTTTTATGATATTTTTTGTAAAAGTTTTGCATGTATTACTATATTGAAGAATTATATAGTGTTGTGGAGGGGATGTAATGTAGTGCGTAGAAGTCGGCACTATTTTTTATATTCAATTGATTGTATATGTATATTTAGTTGGCGCCTATGTATATTCAGTTACACTATATGTATATTTTGGCTGTATATGTATATTACGTTATCAACCTCATGCGTAGAAGTTGGGTTTTAAATTATATTTGATTGAAACTTTATCTAACAATATTTTGACTTGAGTCAAAGAATCTTCCGTGCAAAGCCCCGCCGCTGATGCAAAAGTCCGAAGTTCGAGAAGAACACCCCCGCCACGCTTTTACAATATAATAAAAAAATAGCAATTATTTAGTTGGGGGCATTTGTAATTTTCTAGAAAAAATTAGGGATTTGGAAAATCCATAAACGTGATTGGGCTTGGTCCCGTCAATACTCCGATGCGTCCGGTTTTAGAGACAAAATTTTGTTATACCGCTGTCGGTAGATGGGGTCAGAGAATGAAAATTTCGAATAAATTAGTTTTTGACTAAACACCCTGAATTTTATTTTTAATTCAAGTATATTTCAACTGTGTCATAAAAGAATTTTCCAATTTGTTCCCAACGGAAAGAAAGTTCATGAGCCTATTTCATGCCGTAGGAAAAATGAGAAAATTTAATGACCTATTCGACTCAATGGAATCAACTATAAACAAACTTACTCCTGGCCTGGTGGTGAAATTGAAGACGGACTTTCCACTGGCGTTGCTTTCTTAGGTGGTCCTCTAGCTCCACCTGCCGGTTTTGAAGATCCACCTCCTGCGGGCCGCCTTGGCTTTACGAATGCAGAGCTTTCCGGACCTTTGTTCTTCTTTTTAGGTTTATTAGCTTTAGGTTTCTTTGACTTCTTTGTTCCCCCTTTCTTGGGCTTCAGTGGGAACGTCCAAGATGCTGTGATAAATGATAGAGTATTGTATTTACTTCTCCAATCAGCCCAGTAATTATAGCGTTGATCTCGACTATGTTGGCAACAAAGATTAAATACCTCGGGTTCAAACGCACTCACTACCTCATCCAGGATTGAGTAGCAAATGCTATAACGGAAATTTATAGTACTTATTTGCACAAGGCTTTTTTCAACGTAGAAGTAAAATATGTGCCGTATGGAAAATAATGGAATTTGCTGAGGTCAAGTCGATGACTTTAGCTTCTCAAAGACTGTAATTATTGACTTACTTTTAAATCCGCCCGGCTCCTTCGTAGCTTTATATCTCAAGTCAAATCCTTTTGTTTTCTCTCCCGATGTGTCTCCTTGCAGGTCAAACCGTACCCGTGTTCCTGTGAAACAAAAAAAAATATATTAACGTATTAATTTAAGGAATTAAACTCAAGTCATTCTTCCCAAAGATGCAAATGCACTCGAGTCATCAAACCGAAATGAATCGAACTGATACTGACAGAAACGTGCACTCATTCCCGTGTTTAGAAAATGTATTAGGCGGGAATTCATCCATTTAAACAAAGCATCACATGGAAGTCTAGTGAATCGTTACCAAATCCCCCCAGGGTCAGTAACTGGACACGGAATTCAGAATTCCTAATCCCAAACATAAATAAATTTCATTTAAACTAAAAATAATTTTAAATTTTAAACAGGGAGTAACTTGGGGCTCTGAAAAGATATTATTAAATCGGGATTCATCGATGAATTCGGATTGAAATATAGCATGGCAGGGTAGGTAATTAAATACAAAATTCTAAATTCTAAATTAATTTGAATTTCTTCAAAACTAAAGAGACTTTCATACTCTGAAAGGGTATTCCCGAAGTATGTGAACCAAGATGGCGGATACCGGAACGTAGTATGTGTAGCAGGTTAGAGTTGAACCGTAATTTTATTTCAATTTTCCTTATTTTAATTCTGTTACGAGTTCGGGGACTAGCCAGGTGACTCCCGTAGTATTTGTACATAGAATTATGTCCTAACCCTAACCTGGTACACATACTACTTTCCGGTGTCCGCCATCTTGATTCAAATACTTCCGGAGTACCCTAATATGGGCTCTGAAAGTAGGACAGCATTCCCCTAATTTCGAAGATTCTGTTTCTTTTTGAAAAAGAATTTTAATATCTGAGTATCTCACTTGAGGATTGAACCGACCGATCAAGGATGGATCAAGGATCCAACGTTTTACCAACTAAGCTAGTTATAGAGATTTTTGTTCAAAAAAGGCGAGATAAATCAAAATAGTACGAGAAATAGTTTTATTGACAGAATATTAAAAAAAAAATAAAGAAATGATTGAAATTTAGGGAAAACTCACCCCAAGATACGTAATCACCGGGTCTACTCGCTCCACAAAACTTTCCCTAAGAATATAAAAAGATATTCAAGCCCTGAATATCATTAGATATTTGGAAAATTTGCGCCATGTTCACAACCCGCTGCTGCATTCTGTGTCAACCATTGTTAGTTCAATTATTATTGACAGATAAGACGAATTGTGTTCTTAGTATTCTTGATTCTAATGATCTTCCTTGGAACTGATACTTCGCATAATTGGTCGTTCTGTTCGAATACCTAGTACCCGCCATATTATTTTAAAACGAAACGGCGTTCAGTGGACTAGAGCCGGAAAATTTCACTCATGAATATTCTTTCTAAAAAATTTTTATTGGAAAATTTATCTAATGGAATATTCCACTCAGATAAAATTCAACGCTATTCCTAAACACTATTTGAGAAAATTACAATAAAGTAAAGTTCTTACCGCAGAATGACCGATTTTGTAGTCCAATATTTCAACGAACTGAGTGAAGCAACTCTTCCGCGATCCCGTAACGTTCAAAGTATGGAACGCAAGTTTTATACGATAACCAGGGTTGGACGTAATCCTGAAAATATCACTTATTTTTTAATTTGAAACTACGAGATTAAAAGATATATTGAACGCTTGTATCTAGAAACTCTCAAAAATCATTGAGCCATGGTCTTTGAAAAGCAGGCAATAAGCGAACACTTGAAAGCAAATGCGTTTAAACGATCTGAAATTAGAGAATGTCCTATCTTGTTTTTACATTCATATTCTATTTCACAGGGTGAGCGGTTTGAAATCTAATATATGGTTTACCATCATATAGCAGGCAGAATAAAATGATTGATGTTGTAATGTGAAGCATTCGAATAACATCGCGAGGGATCTAGTATTTGCTTTGATTAAATTTGCTTATAGGCCCAATACATGGTAATAAATTGGGAATACATTAACAGTTCAAATTGCCATTTAAGTGGGCTCCTCTGCAGGAGGCTATTGGACCGTCATATTGACATAGTACGTTTGGACTAGGCGTGGGTATATGGTCCCGATCGCCATTTGAATTGCCTCCCCCATACAGGGCTACTGTGCTGCCATCGGGACAGCAGGTTAGAGATGAACATATAGTCCCAATCGCTAATTGAATGACCTACTCTGTAGAGGTCTGCGATATATACAGTGGGTTATAAATAGGGGAGGGTGTATGGTCGCAATCGCCATTTGAGGGGCGTCTTTCATAGAGGGCTATATTGGGCAGCCATATGTATAAATATAGCCCCCATTGCTTGAATACCTCATAGCCCTCATGGCCCATAGCTCGTCTAGACGAAAGGAAAACCCACGTATACATCTCAAGATTTTTAAATTCCTTTATCAGCTCTCTACTTTTATTGGTGTGTCGGAGATACCATACAGACCTGTGATTCCCAAAGTTGATTGACTGGGGGCCAAAATCAAAAGCAGAAGGATATTTGCGGGTGGGGAGATAGTAGCGCCCGGAAGGGGCCAATACCGAAATATATAATTAAGACAACAGTATAATTGAATTGTTACGAATATACACGTGCCTAAACTGTGATATTGACGTAACAATTGGCAATCTCAAGAACACATAAAGAAAACATGTGTTCAACTATTTCACTCAAGTTCGGCTGGCCACATTGAATCGTTACGCGGGCCGTAATTAGACCTCGGTTTGGAGCCACTGGTATAGACAGTGGGCTAGCAGTAGAAATGAAAACAAACTCTCCCTCCCTCCCAAAGAGCAATATTATAACACTTACATCCAGCTGCATTGTATCTGCGTATTGATTCCATTCGGAAACCCAGGGCTGACGATCTTATTCCATTGTCCTGGTAGAGCATGGAGTGGGTGGACGCAATGCTTCCCTGAAAAAGTAAAAAAAAGTTTGTTCACAGAATAGCATAAAACAGTGATTCCGCTGCACCTCTTCATAGGTGGTGAACATCCCCCTAATATTTAAAACAACCCGTCTAATTTTGGGATAAGACACTACACTTTAACTCTCAACTTGAATATAATAGTATTTAAATACTCGCAACGTGGCGTATATACTGGTGCAGGTGCCCAGTCAAGTACATAACACATTGGTATAAGTTGGAAATGTTTTCTATTTTAATAGAAAAATATCTACCAGCCCCGAGATTTGGAAACACACCCCTCTTAAAATGAAAAGTTGGAGAGCATACTGGAATAAAATATAACATCGAACGCACTCAAACTTTAAATTTATGATGATACGAAAGAAATCCGATTCCAGGCCATGATGCTTTGACGCAGGGTAAAAAGTACAATATACAATAAATAACTCACATCCTGGTGCTTTTATTGCTGCATCTGTCCCACGCAACATCAACACCAACAAGACAGCTGATAGCATTAAATATTTCATTTCTATTGTAAGTAATGGAACACTGTGAGAAGAAATTTGAGCGTTATCATTATGAACATTGCGTTTTTAAGCAATGTATTTCTTTATCATAATAGGATAGGAGATAGGTTAGGATTTACATATGTTTCCTGGGGGAGAGGACAGTCGATAAATCGGCTTAATCGTATGATGGATGAACCACGGCCTCTCGTTCAGTTACCAGTCCATGTCGGTTATGGGATTAGTTAGCCAGTTATTTGTTTTCAGAAGCATGGATTTGATGGTTGGGGAAGCTTGCAGGCTTACGTGAACCAGGAGTCCAGCAATCCTCTCGTACATAGTTTACCGCACAGAGGATTCGAACCTGCAAACTCACGATCTGATAATGACAAAACTTTCAATTTAATCACCAAATTAACAAATTCGAATTCCCCGTATGCTGTAATTTTGTCACTCATTGAACTTGTTTTGAAATATTTTTTATTTAAAATATTTTTAATAAAAGCAGAATCAAGGTCAGAAGCAACACTTCTAGAAAGTAAACTATCTATCCCAGTTGATTGAAAAATAAAAACACTGATAGCATAATCTTTTCCACAAAATAGCAAACATATTTGTAAGCTTTTATTAGGTTAAAACACAAACTTTATCAGACAAGACCTAACCGACTTCGAACTTATAATAATAGAAAAGGGAAAAGTCACATTAATTTGCTATGAAACAAATTAAAGTGACTTTTCCCTGTTTTATTATTATAATTTCAGCATTCTCAACAAAATATTCTCGCCAAAAAAGAAATTTTTTCACTCAAAACGTAAAAGCGTTTTTCTGTGGTCTCATTTTATCGTGGTCTTCATCTATGCGAGAACAGGTTGAACCAGCAAACATAATACGTAGTAGATTGAAAACAAACACCACGCGACAAAACCACATCGCATAATTGGTTATTGAATAAGTTACAAACAAGTTGTGTGAACAAAAGACATTTGTTCCAGATGTGTACCAAAAGTCATATAACTTTGTCCTCATGGAAATAAAAACACCAAAGTTTTAGATGAATGATCAAACAGCGTAAACAGATATTGAAGATTTTAGAAACAAATTTAGTCGAGTGAAAAAAAGTATATTTGTGCTCTTTTGTTAGGTCAAAATCAAACTTAGTCTGTTAACTTAGAATAAAAGTAAAGTCTGCTTAAGTAACAAAATATTATTGCCATAAATTTACACGGATTGCACCGAAATAAAAAATAAAAACCCTAATAGCATAATATTTGCCACAAAACAAATTTGTAATCTTCTGTTACGTCAAAATCAAACGTCAAAAATATTGAAAAAAAAAGAGAAAAAGTCACATTAATTTGATACGAAACAGGACATTGCCAGCGTTAAGATAAATATACGGATTGCACCATACTGGAAACGTCACACCGTTTTTCTATAATGTCTTATTTTATCGCCGACAATTTACGGGATAACAGGTTTCAACCACCAACCATAATACAAGCAGTTTGAAAACATACCCCATGCGACAAAACCACAACGCGCAATCGGATTTTAAAGAAGTTACATACAGTGGTGGGATTCAGCCGGTTCGCACCGTTCTATAGAACCGTCTCATGGAAGTTTATGAGATCAGCAAACCGGTTAGAATTACTGGTTACTGTCAATGTTTTGTTTGTAACAGAACCCACTGAAAAATATGACTTTTGTGAGGGAACCGGCTGACAAAAAATTTCCCACGACTGAGAGTGTCCATGAAGTCTTAAAAAAAGTTAAAATTGCAAAGAAAAAAAAATATGGATACCATATATTAATTTGGCACTCACAGATGTATTGAAGTGAAGATATTTGAACAATTACTGTTTAAAAACAATAAACCTGGTTAAGTTATATTGGGAACTGACTTCATAACAAAATTGAAACTGTAAAGGGACTTTATGAACACCATGTATTATTTATTGTCTCGTTATTGGACCAGAAATGTATATATGGCTCGTTTTATTAATATGTTGTTTTTCATCTTGTTAGTATTTTTTATTATCGTCAAAATACCAATTCTATTTATACTTATTAAAGCCAAGCACTCCACCCGATATCAAAAACTTTCGCTCATGTTAAATGTATTATGCCTCGGGGTTTGGGCTACGTTAGCATTAATTTAACAATGTTAAGCCGTAAATAATAAAGCAGTAAAACTAGCGGTTAGAATTGTTTTTTCATTAAAATTCGTTTCTATAGTCTAGCGCAGAGGTTCTCAACCTGGGGTTCGCTAACCCCCAGTGGTTCACGAGAGGTTTTCCAGGGGTACTTGGAAGACGAGTCGAGTTTTTGTGTATTGCTGTTTTTAATATTTTTTATTACTACCAGACGAAAATGCGTGCCAATTTAAACATAGATTTTCTCTGATCTTGCGTTGTTGTGATTGTGACGCAACAATGTCAAATTCACGGCTTTGCAGGCAAACTGAAATCTCTAAAGACAGCGTGCTGCGAGCATTGGAGAAAGTGATTATGCTTATTGAAATTTGGGAAAGATTTTAAGAATTCATTAGTTAGGCGGACGACGAGGGCAATAATATAAACGCAGACAGAAAAAAGGTTGAGAACCCCCCTTAGCGCATGAGTCGGCAACAATTAGCACTGAAATAGTCATTTGGAATCTTCCGCCTCAAACTTAAACTTATTCGGAGCCACAACATCTACTCTAATGTCAGCGGTTATTAAAACTCTCTGAAAATCAGTTATGATGCAATAAGCTAGTTCCTACTAAGAAGCCAAATGATGCGATAACTCAGTCTATGACGAAATGAAAAAATACACTTAAAAATTAATCCCAATACTTCTAAGTAAAGACTGCTGTAAACACTTCGATTCACTGAAATCAGAGCTCCGAGATCAAAGAGTTGCAGGTTGCCGATTACAGGCTTAGCCGTTGGAGCGTTGAACGTAACTCTTTCAGCATCGCGGTCACACACTTCGTGTCAAATCATATGCCCAGACAACCCGAGATAGGAAATGTCAAATTGAAACGATTTCAGTCATTTCAAAACAGTGGTTTTCAAAGTTGATTGACCGGAAATTGGAAGCGGAAGCACATCCGCGGGTCGGAAAAGTTGTGCCCCGCAAGCGGCCGATACCGGTATAATTGAATTGTAACGAATATACACGTGCTTAAATTGTGATAATGTTCTAACAAATAGCTGTATCGAGAACGCAAAGCAAAAACAAATAAATAGAAACATTTAGTGTTATACTATTTCACTAAAGATTGGCGGGCCATATTAAATTCGTTATTGAATCACTGTTTCGCCTCTATTTATAAATATTGCTTCAATTTATTACATTTTCATGAGCAAACGGATGGACATAATTCGACAATTGGGACAAAATCGTCCGCCACAGTGGCGGGCAAATTACGGGCCACCGAAGTATTTTATCCGGTCCGCTTGTGTCTGCTGAAACTACATCTATAGTTTTTATGGATATAAATTTCAGTTGAAAATACCGATGAAAATATCGTCATAATGATACCGATTGTTACATTGTGCTTCTTATTATTATTACATAAAAGTTAGCCTAGATGTTGGACTATTTTCTGTAAATAAACTATTTTTTATTCATAGTTTTTTATATTAAAACTCTGGCCTAGTAAACAAATCTATTTTACTCAAAAAGGTAATTGCCCACCCCTGTCTATCAACTTTCCACTCACCAGTATTAATATGTCAATTCCACCCTACTCTAATTTTCACGGTTCAGCATTCTTAACTATGAATATCACAAAAATACATCTTGCCAATCCCAATGCCTGAACCTTCTAATTATCTTACCTACCCTCGAAAGCAATGTAGAGAAACTCTAAGTTTCGATCCTATCTGATTCGTCTTATCAATTTTCTTCTACCCCTTCAGCATTTATAGGTTTTTCTGCTTCCCAACACCCAATACTGTCGTAAAATAATATTTAATTCATCAATACATCGCCTCTATTTATAAATATTGCGAGAATATATTATATTTTCATGCCCGATAATTTGACAACTGATTTAACCCCTTTTACCCCCTTCCCCTCTCTAGAAAAATAAAATAATTTCAAAATTCTATTCTTTTCTAATTCTTAATCATCAACACTGTTTAGCATTCTTAACTATGAATATTGCAAGAACACATCCTGTCTATCTTAATGCCTGAAGCTATATCTTAGAAGCCTGACTGGTTTATGTAATGAGAACATATTTCCGTGTATCATGCGTTGTACATTTCAAATCACGCTTTTATTGCGTGTAGGATAGTTTCTTAATTTTTCATGACGCAAGCATGTATTTGTTTGTAGACGAACACGAATGAATATCAGAGCAAGCTTCAGCGCATTGCACGCGCCCATGTATGGATTATAATACACAGATTGTCACAAAAATATCGCAAAAAATACTTTCAATCTTTGCTAAATGTCAATAATTCAATATTCATTTGAATTCCAGTTATATATAGAAAGAATTTCAATGAATTAGCTAAACAGAATATAATATCACGACAATAAATTAGACTTAAAATAAATATAATAAGATAGCAACAAGGATATTGGATTCGAAATTGCGGCTGGCAATTATATGTATACTTGAATCAAAGTGAAATTATTTCCTTAAAATGAGTAGACGTAAATTAATATCTTACTCGTGAGTCAGCAAAATGATTGCGTATTTCCTTTACCACACAATTTATTGCGCATGGTTATTAAAGTTCTACATAAATGAGGATGTAATAATTTTTCAAATAACATTGGATTCTGAACGAAGGCTGCCAATCATATATTTATATTTATTTACCGAGACTTTCTGTTATTCCCCTAAATTAGTAACCGCCACTTTATGGCTTTCTCGTGAATCACCCAAGTCCCAAATGATGTTACTTCAAGACAGTATTTCGTGTGCGTGGTATCGTAGTTTTACATAATAAAAAGTATGGGTGTTTTTATAATCTTTTTGTTTACCGGTGTGTTCAATGATACTTTGCCGAATTTTATTTTCTCTCTTTTGAAATCACAAGGTGGTTTGTCGAGTCCGCGTT